GACTCGGTGCGTTCTACATAGTCTCCCTGAACACAAGACCAAGTTGCGACAACGAGGTCAACCCACATCAATACATTAAGCCATTCTTCGGAAACCATTTTTTCTACAATATTTATATTATATCTCTTATTTATCTCCTGGTACGATTTCAAAATTGTCTTATAAATATGCCTATCGGACATGCTCTATGTTTGTTTGGTTTGCCAATCTCTGATTTTTAGCCACATATTTTGTTTAAATAACCAGAATTTTCATTTGTAATCAATCTAATTTAAGCCTTTGATATTATTTTATTGTAACTATTTATGCCAGAGTTTTGCCAATCAGGTATTTAACTAGAACTGGGTGATTATATGATTTCGCTTGGCCATCTATCAAGGAGGATCTTATCTGCATCTGGTCTATTCCAGAATTCGCTTTTATTTTCCCGATTTCTAGGGGTATTCTATTCTAAATTTTTTTGGATTTGGACACCACGTCAATGCATTCTGCTTAATTTTTTGCGTCGTCTAGCTCATTTCATGATGTTCTGACTTATTCAGTTAATTCGACTGACTCAATTTCCGATAACTTATTTCCATTTTTTTATCCCTTCAGATCCATGGTCGAAGTAGAGACCAAAGATATACTCGACTGGCTGATTGGCAATATATTAATACTGTGGCGAAAGCAGCCCATCCAATGCCGATATTTGGTAATTTTGCCTAACTTCTCTAAACTCAAGTTTAATTTGCGGTAAATATAGATTCTTCGCATTCTGGCCATTTTTATAGAAGCTCACATAGATGGATATTCTCGCACTAAATTATTCTCGGATAAACTGCTCGTCTGACTTCCTTAAAGTATAGCTTGTAAGTTCATCATAAAATGTTCCCTACTATCATTAGCCAATGGCCCGACGTGTGTCCGACTTTGCGCAATTGGAGTGATGCTTAAAATATAAATAAAGAAAGGTGCGGCGGTGTTCATCAAACCTTGGTGAACTAGAATAGACTATGTTTTGTCATTACTTTGAGTTATCAATACTTGTTTTGCACATGTATGAACACATAAGGACACAGACAAACAGACATGCTTGCGTCGAGGCTTACATATAACTTAAACCAACAAACTTACAATATACCTCTTCAAAAGCTTATATACATTGTATATATTTAGTATTTATGGACAAGCCGGTCAGATTTCTTGACTCGCTAGCTTGAATATGGTCGTATGGATGATATCCCACTCTAATGATGTTCGTCATATGACGGATTAAGGCTTAGCACTTTTCCACTGGAATCGAGGGAGAAAGCCTCGTAAGCATCGCCAACAAGAATGCTCCAATAAAGAGGAATCCGCAATCGTCTTGTGGTGGGATCGAAATGGAAGTGAGTCCAACAATTATAAACCAAGAGATTTCTCGAAACCCAACTTTTATTCGCATAAACGTCTTTTGCAACATATAAGTAATATTCGCATTTTCAATTATGCTTTTTCTCAATTTTTTCATTCAGGCAATGGTGATATCTTCTCTCACCTTCAATACACAGAATACTTGGAGAAGTATGATGTCAATGGAATTATGATTGGCCGGTCAGTTTGAATATTAATTTATTTAGCCCTTACCCCTATGTGCATATTTTGGTTCATGTATTTCACTCGACACCTATCATCCCATTTGTGCTACTCGAGACGTCATTTCCCACACTGCCTCTGGAAGAGTAACTTGAGGCTAAAGCCCCTGAGTAATTCTCATGGTCAAGCTTTTGCCTCATGAACCACACCTAACACAGGCCCACTGTCAGCTCACTAGTTCTAGTCTCCACCGCGTCTACCCTGTTTCTACCACTAATACCAAGTTTATGATGTCCTATACTCTAGTCTCTTGTATGCCAACCCACAAATGTTGTGGTTCAACCTTGAACCTAATCGAAGTAAGCAGTACCACAACAATTGTGGTTTGGCACACAAGAGACTAGGGTAGTGGTTCCCAAATTTTTCCTAGTTGCGGCGCCCATTTTTAATTAAAATTTTTCCATGGCGCCCTACCCTAAGTATAACTATTCGTAAGTAAGAGATAAAAATAAATAAAACTCGTGTATCTTTATTATTTTTTACCTAATTAACTTTAAATTAGTATTTAATAATTAATGTGATGGATGAGCCTGCAAATCACTGCACATTTTCTCAAATTGAAGCTCTTACAATATTTCGCGGAGCCTCTGTAAAGAGGCCGCGGCGCACAGTTTGGGAATCACTTGACTAGGGCATAGGAAGTTATAGACTTTATTTTAGGGATGGAAACAGGATAGACGCGTTGGAGACTACACCTAGTTGGCTGACAATAGGCATGTTTTACCATAGACGTGGTTCATGAAGCAAAGGCTTGATCATGAGACTTACTCAGAGGCTTTAGCCTCAATTTAGTCACCCAGACGCAGGGAAAGGGTAATAGCGCCTCGAGTAGCACAGTCGAGTGGAATACTTGAACCAGGGCGACAGCAGAAGGATTTTACAGGGCAAGAGGGAGTCTGATAAGATCTATGGAAGGAGGACGGCGTAACAATATGACAGACTCTGATCAACATTTCCAGCACAAGGATAAGGGGGGTGAGAAAGCCAGTGTGGAGTGTGGATAGTTCTCATGAAAGCCGCTCAGAAGGATACACCATACCACATTGAAATAATCAAGTAAAAAATGTGATACGAGGATATAGGATTGGTGATTAGCTCAGAGCGGAAGGAGATATACCACGATTGTTTAGCAGACAATTGGTCAAAGGATCGGCTTCACTTGTCTCTTTGACGAGTTGTACTGTGGTGCTAAGACTAGCAAGACTCACTGATGATGCCGGCGAAACGTCTGGAAATTATCATGCATACTATGGACTCCGGACTAGTTGCGTTCCTTTAAATCTTTCCACCAATATGACCGAGTTGCGAAAAAAAGGTCAAGCAACTCTTATACAACGAAAGGAGACTGCGACCACACAAAAGGCCGCACCATCTGGGTCTTCATACCTGTGATAAATAAATATTGCTTAATAATTTCTTACTACGAAATCTCTTCGCAATTTATCATTTGTTATGCAAATTTCTTAGGTCTATGAATATAGAATCCAGGCGTTCCTCGGATTATATCTTAATTATATATTTTTCGTTTATAACTAAGATTTCTAGACTACCAGTAGCTCATATACATGAGATGCTTTCATCCTATCTTGTTTATGGTGCTAAGGGGACTGATAGTTGAATTTTCTTACAATGATATGAGTAGACATAACGTCTCAATTGAATTTCACAGCTTTGCTTTCCGAAAAAGTCTTCTCACGCAGGCTGGAGGAGACTACATTTTCGACCCCGCCTTGTTCTTATCAGCAGCCCCAACTGGACTCGAACCACAACACTCTAACGTCTAATCTTAACACTTTAAGCATTACGCCGCATTGCTACGAGTCCTCTTGTGTCACAGAGCAGGTGTTAATTTCAAGAAAGTTCAGGCATTTTCCCATCTCACATTATGTGGAGAGATTGCTGGTGAAGGAAAGTTGTATTTGATATTGCAATGGACTACGTTACTTATTTTTCGTTTATACTTGGGCTTTCGAGACTACCAGTAGATCACATTTACAAGGTGTATTCATCATTTTTCGTGATAAATATTTTAGCCTTATGCTATGGCAGATAAAAATTTACTTCATCGACATTTCCACAACAGAATGTAAAATCGAAAAATGCCTCGCCTTCCTTGAGATTCACATCTCACTGTGAGCCAAAGGCACTCGCAGCAATGTGGCGTAGTAGGTACCGTGTCGAGATTATACGCCGCCCTGATATGGTTCGAGTCCCGCTGAGGGGTGTTGATAAGACCTAAGCGGGGTCGAAACTGCAGTCCACTTTGGATAAGAACAACTTTTCAGAAATAAGGTTATGCGAAATTTAACGGAAACGTCAGCTCTACTACCAGTCCTTTATCACCTTGAACGAATTAGGGTGAATACATCTCATATAACTGATTTACTGATAGTCTCGAAATTCTACTTATGCGATGTAGTCGATTGTTATAAATCAAAAATACGTTTGCTTAATCGACAATCCCACGAAAGAATATGATGTGGAAAAAAGCCTGGCCTTCCTTGAAATTCACATGTTCCCTGTGACCAAAGGGCATTCGTGACAACGTGGCCGAGTGGTTCATGTGTCAAGCTCACATGTTGCAATGTCACGATTCGACTCCGGCTGGTAGTGTTGATAAGACCTATGCGATGTCGAACCTGCAGTCCATCCTGAATGCAAATCACTTTTGGTAAAGTAATGCTAAATTCAATGGGAACGTCACGTCTACTCATAGCATTGTGTGAAATCAATCTACCAATCTCCTTATCATCCTAAACAAAATAGGATTAAGGCACCTGAATAATATAGTTTCCTTCGCATGTTTTTTATCTTCAGTCCTCATGGTTTCTAAAGTGGGCTAACTGTAACATCTCCGAAATTTATACTTTTTATTTATATCAGTTATTGAATTATAAAGTACATTAATTTGTTTTAATCTCCCATACAACTTCTCGGCTTATCAATTGTAAACCGGGCCATTTTTGAGGAGTTTTCCATTTTGTATTTCATCATTTTCCCCAAAGTAATTTGGCGGGATAAACAGCAACACATAAGGATTCTTGTCGTGGTTCGGGACTTCTGAGCTGTTCAATCAAGCCCTCCTGTCTACCATATTTTAAGGATATGTTTAATATTTCTCTAACAACTTAGCTACTGACAAAAAGTGGCAAAATCTAATATTTTCATACTACGTTTTCAGAATCAGTCTCTGATTTATATATCAATATGCAATTGTTTTAATTTGAGTTTCATGGTCGTTATGTTTTAAAAAAAATTATATAAAGCGTATAGAGGAATAAGTCTGACTTCTTTATTCATTTTTTTAAGAGGGGCACTCATAAAGCCCTGGATTTTTACCGAGATAAAAGAAAACCGAGTCTGGGATATATCCTCCTCAGAGCGTCTTGATCTGCTTCGTGAGTTCACTCGCTACGGCCTTGAACACTGGGGCTCCGACTCTCGGGGTGTAGAGACCACTCGTCGCTTCCTACTCGAATGGCTCTCCTTCTTACATCGGTAAGTGAGAGTTCTGAATCACTTTCTTGAAAATCTGTATTTTAAATACTTGCCTCTGATGGGTGCCTTAAAATGTTAATTTTGTTTATATACTGGCTAGAGCATTTATGTCTCGTATAATATATCATTATGAACGTCGTTGTAAAATCAAACTATTGCATAACACTTGGAAAGAGTCGTCTTCTAGTGAGATCGACCTACTGATCTCATCATAGGGCAGTTTGAACGGAACAAAAATCTCCATGACATTTATTTTCTAATCACTATTTTTTCGAAATCATTTGGATGCCATTTTATGACTTAAGCCTCTTTTTTTATTACACTGGAACTTTCATTAAAACTCGTTTTAAACTTATTATCAAATTATGATAAATGTTCATCCTATTTCGTTTAAGGTCATAAAGAACTCGTAGTTGAATTTTCCCACAATTATATGGTATACATAACGGGCATAATTAATTTTATATAGCCTTACTACTCAAAAATATACTCTCATCCAGACTAACAGGCAGTTTTGAACTCGTCTAGGTCTTATCAACATCCTCAGCAAGACTCGAATGATGGCAGTGCAGCGTATGATCTCGACGCGTTAATCACTTTATTCTACGACCCAAGGGCACTCGTGGCAATGTGGCATAGTGGTTAACGTGCCAAATTATACGCTGCACTGTCATGTTTCGAGTCCCGCTGGGGGTGTGTATGAGACCGAGGCGAGGTAGAAACTTCAAATGAGAGTAACCTTTTGGAAATCAAGGCCAAACGAAATTAAATGGAAACGTAAGAAGTGGTCTGAGCTTATTTTCGCAACTTTGTCGTTTTGTCAGGGCGACCTTGTTGTATGCATCTTGTTCAAAGTCCTCTGTTACATTAGGTATG